GGCGCGCAAGAAAATATTTCCACTTCCAACGTATGCCAATGCCAATACAAATAAAGGAGAAACACATTCCAAGGATTCCTGAATATCTTCGTTTAGAAGAATCTGTGTTAGCGTCTCTCCGGACTTGCGGAATGCAATTTTATCAGATCCGGAGTCCGGAGTCCGGTAATTANGAACAGAACGGTTTTTACACAATTTCATCACACAAGACATGTCGTATTCGTATTGTTTTTTCGCTGCTTAAATGTTTCAACTGTGTGAAATTTGCACTCGAAGTGGTGTATCAGGGTGTGAATGTGTGCGTGCCGGCCTGTACGTACAGGCAAGCTGGTGTATCCTAATGTCACAGTATTTTGTTGATGAGAATCCGTCCGACTTTTTTTATAGGTCCATGACCTACATACTATTATAATTCATGTGAAAAATTGTGCGACACTGACCGTAGGGAAGCCAGGAGTTATGTAGAGATTCCCATTTCTTAACCGAATGGATATCCGAATTTGATAAAAAGTGAAATATTATTCTTCTTTGCAAACTAAATTAAATGAATCTAAAACAATAGCTAGAACTCGACCCAAACCCATAGGCCACACTTTTTACCAATGATCTCAACAGTTCTTTATTATTGACTCTTTCTCAATATTTTTGTAAAAACAATCATAAAAGTATGCTCAAGAGGTTTCATTTGCTTTTTTTATCTCAAAGGTTCTTTATCAGTTTCATAGAGATATTGAGCTTATGTTATAAAATATTTTTAATCAAAAGTTGAAACCATTTTTTTTTCTTCTTTATCACTTCCACCAGCAATGTTACCTACCATAAACTTTACATTCATTTGAATCAGACGAGATTCCGAAAGCATTCTCTTGAAAACTAATTTAATTTCGAATTAAAATAAAATCTTGCAACTATGAATTCGCTCGCTCACAAAAGGCGCGCAAGAAAATATTTCCACTTCCAACGTATGCCAATGCCAATACAAATAAAGGAGAAACACATTCCAAGGATTCCTGAATATCTTCGTTTAGAAGAATCTGTGTTAGCGTCTCTCCGGACTTGCGGAATGCAATTTTATCAGATCCGGAGTCCGGAGTCCGGTAATTAAAGTCAGGGAATCTAAAGTTGACTCAAACAATGGGTCCAGTGCGAACTACCGCTTTGCTGGTAAGGTGCGACCACACTGTGGACGAGCATTGTTGAACTTAGATAGTTTTGTGGAGAGATGAAATTGAAAATAGCAGAATTGTGTATGTAATTCTAAATGAAAATTGAAACAAGTAAACAGTCTACTTGCATACCGAAATATTGTAGTTCTGAAGCAAACTATAATATTATAGGTATGGGACGTGTTTAAGTGCTCTGAAAAGGGACTATCAAAGAATTTAAAGAGTGATCTTTCACTATGAAGATATTGCTGAAATTATTTCTTCACAAACTTTACATTGCTCACCTTCATTTAAACGTTCACCGCATGCATTTATCCTTCACGGTTTCTTCCCTTCAGTCATACAAAGTTTGTTGATCACGCATCAAACCGAAACCGAAACCGCCAAACTTATTTTGAAATAATAGTTATCTAGTCAACGACTTTTAACTTTTAACTGATTTTAACGTTTGATAGAGTTTTGGCTATTGAGTCAGCTACGCTAAAACCACATTTGTATATATTAATTATCGTGCGAGTTCTTTTTATTTAATAGTGTCTGAATGGCAACAATAAATGCATTTCGATGTCAGTTCATAAAACATACATAGATACTGGAATTTTGTACCAACACTATGCATGTGTGGAAGCCACCTTACTTGCTGTAATGTTGGCCCAACTCTACCAACTTTGTTTAAAATTTCAATTGTTTGTGTTCAGGCTCTAGCCACTCGTTTTAGTGTAGTGTTTTCGGTGCCAATGGTATAACACTCTGACACTTCATGTTAACAACAAATATATTATGTAATTGAGAGTAATTTTACAGCACATGAATGACTGCACGTGATTTACATTTGACTACGGCTTTGTAAAAATTAAAACTCCCTGCACTCTATGGATTTCAGTCGACCAATAGTTAGGCCGGCTTCTGATTTGTATGAGGAGTCGGCTGATACGAAATCTGTGTAATATACGCCCTCTCATACATGCCCATTATTTTCCATACTTATTTATTAACAGCCGAACCAAACTATCGACCGAAAAACGTTCGTAGTATGCGGGGCGTCTTAATTCCCTTCATCGATCCTGTTATCTGATATTTTATTCAAAATTATTTGTTTCAAAGAGTCTATCTTTAGAAAGAAAATCCTCGATAATTGTTTTTGCGAAATCCGCAAACAAAAACTATAAAGAAACCCATAGAATAAAAGGATTCGAACCCACAAAGTTTAATTCCAGTTTTTTCCTGTTCATCCGACCAATGCCTCACCGAATTGGATTTCCAAGGTGCTCCATAAAAGAGCCCGATCATAACCAACCGCGGTATCTTTTATACACGAAAGAACGATAACTTAGTTCGATTGTTCCCAAGAAATTTCATTAAACTGCCTCTATAACTGGGGCGGGACTCATTGAGACTTTAGCGGAGTGTTCCCACTTTCTCTTGCGTGTGTGTTTTCTCTCGTTAATGTTGCCGCTATACTTTTCACTTCGGTTACAGTTGTTGGAGCTGTGACGTGACGTTTAAGAGTTGTTTTTCCGGAGCAATCTCCTGTCGGTTTTCAGTGACTATTGTTTTAACTAAAACATTTTAGAAGAAGCAAACTTACTAAGGGCTAACTGACATTAAGCAGCGATCGTGACGTAGGTATTTACATTGCACACCAGAGTTACCAACGCCCCGACGTGTTGACTAGTTACTCTTAAGCTGGGTTGCACTATCTTACTATAACTTTGACAAACGTCAAAAATCTGTCAAAAACCATACAAAAAGCACCGGTTATCGTCAAAGTTACGGCCAAAGTTGGGTGGTGCAACCCAGCCTTAGATTTTTCGACTTTTCGTAATAATGACACAAAAAATTGTCACAAAAATAAAAAATAAAACGTTATTTTACAATCTTGCAATCGAAACAGTCACACACAAACCCCAGCTCGCTTTCACTTTCAGACTAATAATCACTTTCCATCAAGTGAAGTCATGCAGGCCAAGGGCTTCCTCGTTGTAGTTAAAAAAATACTGAATGACGAATATTACCTTTTATCTTTAACCCATTAACGCCCATAGTGAAACCACGATATATTTTCATAATATTTTTTATTATTGCTACTGAATGGATTACAAGTAATCTATAAACACAAAAAAATATTGAAAAAAAATTAAAAACCTTGAAAAAAAACCCTGTACACAGGTGTGTACAATGGGCGGATCAGGTGACAAATTTCCCGAAGCAAGGTCGCTCTACGCAAAGCGTTTTCAGGCATTTAGAGCAACACCAACGCCCCTACTATGGCAAATAACACACCTAAGAGGGTTTACAATACGGTTATGCCCTCCATTGCTTGACTGTAAATATGATGTTGACGATGATGGCCGCGTCTTCGTTTTATTATTGGGTAAATACGATCTGGCAATAGATCGCCTAAAAGCCAATTGATCCAAGTACGTTGTGTTTTTGGTTTACACGGTAAGTACATATAAGCGCCATGCATTTGAGACCGCCATATCCACTAGTTTGGGTGATTTCATGAGCAGTAGAAAAAATGGGTGATATTTTTCTCCAAGTAGGATTTTCAGCAACTTCGTTACGAGCACGTTTTTGAGCCGGACCAAGGCTTGAAAGAGTTTCTTCATCGCTATTGACCCACTCCGGCTCTTCATCTGAAAGTTGGTCGCGTAATAGCTCGATAGTACCTGGTATATCTCAAAGTACCGAGGAAGTCAAATCATCTTATGCACCTTCTTCTTCATCAGTAACAACAGCAGGATCAGGTGGTACGATGATAAATTTTAGCTCCGTATCGTCATCTTCAGCTGCCATAATGGATTCGATGGCTTCCTCTAGTTTTGAAACTCGTTTTGAGATGATAAACGTTATCTATGTGACATCTTCAATCATCAACCTGGTCTTGAAAAAAATGTTTTTCTTAGTATACATTCACCCACTGTACACAAGCGTGTACACCAACATTCTTGAACAATTTTTGGTATGTTATATGTATATATTTATTATTTTTTTAGCTTATAATAATAATTTACAATGTAAACTTACCTTGAAACGTAGAATTAAATCAAAATAAAGCTAAAATATATTATATCAGTATTATTTCACAACCGGCGCCAGTCACTTTGAGAAAAGGTCGGAAAAAAATGTTAATTAGACATTTATTTTTACACCACCCTCCAACTTTTTTATATTTCTTACCTTGTATCGACATCTAGATTAGGTTTTATCAAGTAATTTGACTTAACATTAGAAGTTGCGTTCAGAAATAAAGTTTAAAGAAGTGTACACACGTGTGTACAGAGGGCGTTAATGGGTGACTAAAGGTAAATTCGAGTCGCCTTGCTCCCGCAAGGTGCGAGGGCAAAAAGGCCCTATAACTTATTTTAGTATTTAACTACATCTCACTGCACAAGCGGCCTGCAAGTTGGCGAAGTGTGAAAATTCACAAAGTGTTACACTTTTAGTAAGTGTTCGCACTTCGGTTGACACCTTTTTGATGCGAAGATTGTGTTTACAACGTCATGTGGTTAAATAGGAGGCAATGCGTTTAGTAGAGGTGCAGAAGCAATTTCGTAGCTTTTATCTGTCAAAAATAGTTTTTGAACATACAGAAAGCAAACATCATCACTGTTTAAATTGCACGCCTTGGCAACCTATCATTAAGGCAGCACTTAGATTAAGTTTAAATACGTTGTAAATATTGATTGGTTGTCCTATTAAATACTTAAATAAAATAAATCATAGCGTAAGATAAGTTTTTAAATTAATTTCCCATTATTTATTTTAAGAAAGTAGGTATATTTGTCATGTATGACATATTTACTAACTGTTATTTTCTCTTCTTTTCAGAATCTTAAGAATCAAATCATGACAACGAACGTGTGGGTAGAACAGGTGAGTTTTTTTTTTAATTATTTATTTACACTGGCGATTTGTCTAGCGATTTCATAATTGGGTCAATAAATACACACAACCTATAAAAATAATATGAGGACAAACGGCACTAAAATCACAGCTTAATCTTAAATTAAAGTAAGAAAACTAAATTCTTCAACAATTTATCTCAGACCGGAACACTGTGGCAAAATTATCAAACGTGCGCAGGACATGTCCCATTCCCGTGACAAATGGCCGACGGGCCTCACGTGACCGCCATAAACACAACGGAAGGATACTTTTCGGAAATAATTTCGGTTAGACTAGCACATTCTCCTTTTTTTACGAACCAACGTGAAATATAGATCGCTTCCGAGGCCGTTGAACGGGATTATTCACTTTTCGTTCCCGTTGAAACTCCTGCGTGGTCTACAGCTTGACCTCTACAGAATTGAGAGGTGACAGAGTTTAACTTCTTCTTCTAAGAAAATTATATGGTTAAATGGTTCTAACCAGCCGATATATTGTGTCCCGAAGTGGTGGTAGAGCAAGCTATAGGGACGTGACGTGAATAAGTGCCTTGAAAAGGACATCGAACTAATAAAGAATGCGAATTTAAAATTTAATAATTATGACTGTTACTAAAAATACGATCAAGGTTCAGTGGCTGGAGAGTAGGTAACTTCATTAAAAAGAGAGTTTGACTCTCTCAAATCAGACGCATAGCTTTTGTTCCTTCATTTTTAAACTCTACCTAATTGCCTACAAGGAATTATTCTGAACATTAGTAAAAATCATCTAGTAGATATTTTATTTCATGTTAGACGCCTAGGCTGCCTTACATCAAGGTTTATTTACAATAGAAAAAGAATAACAATATAGAATTGCTTAGCCACAAAGCTAAGATTGCAGTAGATATTAAATTTTGAACCCGCTTAATATGGACTTTTAAAATTATCTAAAATAAAGAATTTTTAACTAATTTAATTTAATTAGGTACTACAGTAATCTGCTAACTCCTCAACTATTATGTATTAGTATTGGTTGTATTGAGCAGTAAACATATACGCTTCGACTGCAGATATCAATTTATACCTTTTTCTTTTTTTACTTAATAAAATACACAAATCGCCTACATAAAACTATTTATGTATCGTATAAATGCGTGTGTATTATAAACCTTGATAAAGCAAACCTTCCATAATCCTGACGAACACCCAAAATGATACCAGGACATTTATTATTCTCCCGCATTTATTACCCCAAATATAGTAATGCGAGCTTTCAAACAACATATTGATTGGGCTCACGACAGTATATTTCATCTCTTTCATCCCTTACCAAATGATATCTGCCTCTCGCTCATCCGGTTCGCAAAGTTTTCTCTCATACAACTTGTTCCGACAATAAAAATGTTATGACGAAGTTAGGTTTACGGTTTATTTATTTGTAGATAGTTCTCGAGTCCACAGTATATTTGGGACATAAAATAATAATAAGGAGGCAAACAAACTTTGTAGGATCTTTGAGATCGAGTGGAGCTAAAAGTTAGTTTTTTTATGATTCTGATAGAATCTGGACGTAGGTTAACGTTGTTAAAAGTATGTATTAATATGGCACAGTAATCTATTCTATACTAATATTAAAAAGCTAAAGAGTTAGTTTGCTTGAACGTGCTAATCTCAGGGACTTACTGGTCCAATATGAAAAAATATTTTTGTATTGAATAGAAAATTTATCGAGGAAAGCTTTAGGCTATATGACATCACCCTACAGCCAATAAGGGAGGAGCAGTAAAAAAATGTAGTAAAAACCGAAATTCAAACTATTTTCACACACACGAAGTCGCGGGCACAGCGAGATGGATCCAATTGGCACGTGTTTTAAAGGCTATATTGTATATTTAAAGGTTATATTGTATACAAATTCTACAGTTGTTGGCTCTTTTATTAACTCAACAACTTTCTCTTTGAGACTTCATTGTTGATAATAATTGAACGATAAATCTATTGTTTGATTGAATTTAGAAACACACAAATCTGCTTCTGAATAAGTAGCACAGTAGCCATATTTATTGATGTTATAAAGTACTCTCCAATACAAATCGGCTCAATAAAAGATATCGTACCGAAAGAAAGATTACTGAATATTCAATAGGTATCCGATAAAGTCAGATATTTGTGCAATCTATCAAAAATGAGGACATTAATCCTGGAGTCGATAGAGCGCCAACATCCCTTATCAGGGCCTAAATATTTTTATAACATTAGTATACGCCAGCTTCCAGGATCGTGCAATCCTTTTTAGTGATGGGGATAGACAGCTAATTTGTTAAATGAATTTATCGATAACACGTTACTTGATTCTTGATTTTGATGTTCAAAGAAAATATCGGAAAAGTCAAGTAGCTTTGTTTGCTTTCCGCACCATAACATGAGAGTACTAATAAAATGAAGGCGAAAGCATTTGAAATTTAAAATACTTGAAAATTTTAAGTCTAGAAGTGTATAAAATTATGATATTCAAAAGAGAAAAATGTATGATTTATAGGTTTTAATCATAAATTTAAAGATAACGTTACCGAAATCATCAAAAAATACTTGAAACAATAAGGCTGGGTTGCACCATCTTACTTTAACTTTGACAAATGTCAAAAATCCGAATACAAAAAACACCGATTATCGTTAAAGTTACGGTTAAAGTTAGGTGGTGCAACTCAGCCTAAGTAAGTCGCATTTCTAAGGCTGAGATGCAACACCTAACTTTAACGGTAACTATGACGATAACCGGTGCTTTTTGTATGGAGATTGACAGATTTTTGACGTTTGTCAAAGTTAAATTAAAATGGTACAACTCAACCTAAATGAATCGCTGTCGACTCGAAGACGGCACTAAGCATAGAGTGGTCGTTACCGACATCGAAACATCGATGTCGAACAACAGACATCGATCATCCCTACACCGAAGGGTCTCTCTGTCCCTTGCAGTACACCATAAATCATACAAGCGGAGCCCGGTTAACACATTTTTGAACGGCCATGTTGGGTGTTTTTTTCGCGATATACCTACTCACGACATGGAAAGTCGATTATAATTTGTGAGGGCTTTTTCACTTGAGGTACGAGGCGTTAATATTTTGGAGGTAGGCGTTTTAAGGGGCTGAAACGAGTAGCGACTGAATAATAGGTATTTTACTTATAAAATAAGCCATTTATCGGAAAATTTTTCTTTATGGATCCTTTCTAATATTTATTTCTTATCTACAATTTAATTAACTTTAACATGTTTTTAAGTTGTGACCCTCATTGTTACAACAACTCTTATGATTTAAAAGCCATGTTTTGTTGTTCTCGATTGGAGCAATACGATATTTTTTGATCATTTAATATCAGTCGACTCGCCAACTGTATCCATTTCTGCCTTCAAAGTAAACAATACCACAAGAAACCCTTTAAAGCCTCGAATAAATCATTCGTAGATTACCGACTGGTATTTTTGCGGTGAGCCAAAGTTTTAAATGGAATTTAACTTCGCCAAAGCCAAAGTTCTCGAGTTAAAGGTGAAATTGACCTTAAGACTTTTAAATTAAAAGTTGCGTCCATCGAAAATGAGCGGTTGAAAAATCTCATTCTGTTTCGCTTTGACGACGTCTAATAACGAAATACCGTTAACAATAACGTTAATATTCGACGAGAATTTTATTACGTGATGTTTTTTAAAGCGGCCATTTTAAATGCATTCTTTCCGCAAATTCTTTTTCGGTCTCCCGCCGGGCGGCAAAGTTTGCGGAATTTTTGTAACGGAAAATACCTAGTAGCAACACTCATTTGTTTTTTGCTTTGTTCTGTATTTGAATTTGGAAGTTATTCCTCCGTTACTCATCGGAGGATTGTTTTCGTAAACAGAAACAGCACTTGCGAAACTTTTTATTGTTCAGCTATGATTTTTAGTGCTCGTGAATTGGATGGTGCTTTAAAATATACAATTTTGAATTGTTTTGGTAAAAATAAGTTTGTGTTTAGATTTAAATATTTAGATTTGCATTCTGTTTATTATTGTGCACTATAAAGTTTGGTATTTAGGTACTCCTACACTTATTTTAACAAGCCGTTTTACAAGTTATGACAATAGCTAAGAATTTATTAACAACTTTACCTAGATATCTTATTGCATTTAATATTTTTAATATGAATTTTGAGCTACTTGATTCAAAGTGCTTTTAAGCTGTTTGTCCTATGCCAAAAATGGTAAATTTTACCACGCCCACATTCTAAGCCTTCAGAAAACTGAAGAATAGACAAAATCTTACAAAAGCTCTATTCCCCAAAAGATGCACTTAAAGCCGACGCGGTCAATTGTAAAACTTGCCGCCGTCAGCGGGGGCGATGTCACTTAATATTCCCTTTTCCCTTCACTAAATTACGGGGCATTTCATTCGACCGGATTCGGTGTAGTGCCGCCGAAAATCGATGGCCAATTTAATCGATTGTGTTCAATTGAAATAAAAAAAAAGATTTAGGTCTTTCTTTAGGAACTTTATTTGAAATTCAACTTTACATTCGTCAAACTTTTGCCCGCGTGCATTTCAGTAAGCCTATTAACTTTATACTAATAGTCTGATTTAAACATAATTTTTACACGCTTGTTGTTTTTCATGGAAATCCATTCTGTAGTGTTTGCGTGAATCACATTTATAATTGTAGTAAAAGACTTAATTTTATTTCATTGACTAAGCTAAATTATCTACCTCCTCATGGTTAATATCAGGTTTCTTAAATTATAATCGTTTTATTCGATATGATTCCGCAATCAATATTATATTTTTTATATCTTATCAAAAGTAACTACAGATATTTTATTTATTCTCGTATTTTATTTCATTGCATGAATGAATAAAATATTAACAAATAAGCTTGTCGATTTTTATATTACAAAAGGTCCATCGGTCCTATCGATTTTCGGATACACTAGTTCATTCAGCCCGATTATTCGGCCATAGTGAATCGTTCGTCTCGAAA